TTACGACCAACTCAGGATACGCCCAGAGTCACGGAACGGATTAAGTTCGTATCCCGAGGTAGCGCTGTATTATCAAAGTTAACAAGGTAGTGTTTCCATAAAACAATTTTAAAAAATAAAACTGTATTTTCAGACATCATCCCCTATGTCTTCTTGGATGCTGCTGTTTCCTATCCTCATCTACTACAAAATGGAAATTTGATACAATGACCAGGCACTTCAATGTCCAAATGAGAATCTGGTTGTCCTTGCAACTACTGAAGTTCTATATTCAGAATTATGGAAGTGAGTTGTTAGAAAAACATAATTATTCAGTACAAAGTTACAAACTCAAAACCTAATCATATTATTCCAGGATTGCCACTTCTGTTATACAGATTCAAAGGATCAACTTTTTAAACAACCATATTCAAGCAATAAAGTCAGATCCTCATTCAAGAAGATTAATTTCTCTTGCAAATGCAGGGAAAAAATGTTCTTTTTCAAAGACCCCCTTTCTTTTTCTCCAGATAAAAGTTCATATTTGATTAAACAAAGAACACCAAACACATTCTCCTCTCTGACTACAGAATCAGAATTACCTTTCTTTTTCTATCAGTTGTCCTATTCAAGCAGTTATGTGCACATATGAATGAACCACTTTTGAAGGAGAGGATTTCTACTTCCCCAAGTCTGTATTATCAGGGAATTCATTTACTTACAGTAAGTTGACCACACCTGCTTTGACATTGTAATAAATAACTGAAATAAAATGTGTTTCTTGTATGTGAACACTCATGCTTTAGTTTATACAATTTATATATTCTTTAGTATTTCTATAGTCTTCTAAATTAAATGGGACCATCATAGCCTCTTCCCTCCTCACTTCTCCTTGATTTGCTCTTAGCATGAAAGCAGGAATTCTGCCAGATAAACTGTATTTTTATTATATCAAACTTAGGGAGTCTGTGGGAAAATGCAAAAAGCCTGTTTACAATATTTTGAAAAATAAAACCTATTTGGAATATTTATGTTAATTTGTTGAAATAAATGACCCTTACAATAAAAATAATACCACACACTGCTAGCCATCTGCGAAGGCTGGATGCTGGCTTCCACTCAAACTTAACCCAACTGTACGGTGTGAACTGAAAGGCAATTCTCTTCATTTTACCTCTGGAAGTGAAATTAAAAGTATCTCATGTTAAAATGTTTTTATTTTTCACTTTTTAATTAAACAAAATGTGATGAACAAAAACATTGAAAATGTTAAAACAGCATAAATAACAAAAACAAGAAACAGGCCCAGAAGCAGTACAGAAACTAAAACTAAAAACAAAACAAAAAAGTTTTGGGAATATATAGAAGTATTTTTGTAATTTAAGGAACGAAACAAAACTTTAAACAGCATTTCTATACAAAAAGACATTTGTGTAGATGGTAATCATATATCATTAACCTATTAATTTATTTCAGAAACATATCATTTCATAATATTTATGAAACGGTTATAATTATTAATTTATCCTTGATTAAAACTTGACTGCACCCAAATAAATTGGGTAGCTCACCCCAAATTAAACAATTTAGGATTCATTAGCATAAATAGTGATAAAAGTTCTAAGATTTGCATTTTTCTGCCTTAGACATAAAATTTTGTAACTGAACATACTTATATGTGGGAATATTCCAAAGTCCTTGCCATTTATATGTTTTCAAAGAAAGCCATCCCAATGTCTTCATTCCACAGTAAATGCCAAGTCCATTACATAAGATTACATCCATAATCCACTGCAAATAATAATAATAATAATTTAATGATCCATCACAATCTCTGTACATAACTTGTGACTACAGCAATAATGGTACTGCAATTTCTATGCATAATACGCTTTTAAAATATATAATATGCTGTCCTTATAATATGCTACATAATATTTTAAAATATCAATTATATATAACCAATATTTTAGCAAAACAGACTGTTTCTTAGCCCATAAAATGATTTCATCTACAAAATCAGCATGTTATCTTCTCAACAGGAAATGATAAAAAGAATTCCATCCCACCCAATTTTCACATACTTCCCCTTTACTTGCAGTACCAATTAAGGAGTTTCTGTGATGGTCAATCTGTTATTTTCCATACTAACCAGCTAAAAGATACAGTATATCCTGAATTTCTAGTTATAAAGTTTGGGTTGTTCTGAATACTTTCTTCTGTCAAGACATATCATCTGTTCTTTCCCTAGACTTGCACATTTTGCTTCATCTTTGAATCTTTCCTTGGTGATCTTTTTTGTTGCCAGGTTTCCACTATTCAGTTCAGAATGCACCATTTAACAAAAAATAAAACTTTTTGTTTAAAAATGTATTTATTATTATTAAATTAACATTACATTTATTGGCATGCATCTTCTTCTATTTTTCTTATTACTAATCTTAGTTTATCATATCATCTATTCTAGAACAAACTGTTGTTAATCTTTGTTGTTCATATTTAACTTTGGTTTAAGATGAACATAAGCCAACTTGAATCTAAAGATGTTCATCAGATTAGGCCAAATCTCAAATAATGAGTTGAAACAGATGGATTTAGGTTGAATTTGTGACCACATGAAGGAAAGTGCAATACCTATGAAGCAACCGCAACCAAACACAGAGTTTTTGTGAATGATCTGGGGTTTCCAAGTACTTCAGAAAGATGGACAATGAGACAACAACCCCCTCTCCCCCCAAAAAACCTGGTTGTATTTCATCTCTCTATAAACTTTTATGATGAGGAAAGGGGGATGGTGGCAAATAAAGTTGAGCAAATTATGTTCTACTCCTATGGAATGATTTGGGGGGAGCATTCATACACAGCAGTTTCTTCTAAAAAGAAAGAAGCTGAATGCCAATTGCAATTAATTCATTTGCTCTGAATAGCCAAGGAAATCATTGGAAGATTTTAAATATTAAGTCCAATAGTACTAGTTCTATTTTTTAAAAATCAAAATA